TTCCTAACCTAACCTCTTCTATATTACTTGTTTTTTCATACCATCATAAAGTTAAGATAAAATTTTTACTACAACATAGTTGTGTGTCGTCAAAAAGTGGAGTTTGGGGATCGGCCTGGACTCCATTTCAATTAATCCCATATGTTATGTTGTTCACTTTACGCGTTCCTCACTTTCCGCGGGACCCTCCGGGTTACATTAACCGCGTAATATGAGGACCAACTGTATTGCTAAAAGTAGTGTAGTTGTAGTGCAGTATTACTGGAAAATAATGCTATGATTATGTTATAAATGTATTTATTTGTGGAATTATTATTATTTTATGCATTACTTGCTCTACTAAACATTAAGACCGCCAGACAGCTGGAGTACTTTTATGAAAAATAACCCCCAAAAAATTCTAAATGAAATATTTATAGGAAATAAGTATGATCAGTAAATATATGATTTATTGACCATCTCGGACACAAAGACAAGCAAGAAATAGCCCTCTTATCTCCCTCCCTTCGCACAAACACCACCACCTCCTCTCTTACATGCAGTCAGAGGGAAGCTTCTAGGTAAATACCTTCTTTTGTTTGTCTATTTTAATTGTTTGTTAATTTTATCATGTTGTATCAAAGTAATACAGTGGTCCCTCGGTTAACGAGCGCCTCGGTTAACGAGTTAACGAGCTGCCTCCCATAAGATTCTTAAATTCGGTTAACGAGCAACCCCTCGGTTAACGAGTTTCTTACGAGCCGACCTCAACATGTTTTCGCTTGCACTGGCCGGTCAACCAGCTGTAGTATTAGTCCGCCAATACATAAATTGGCTCTAGGGCTTAAATTCCTTACTATTTTAGTATATATTAAGAAGTTTATACTATTCAATAATTTTAAAAGTTTAATATTCAATTTTTTAGTCATTTTAACAATTATTGAACATAATTGAAGGTAAAGTGACTAGTTTAATGCGCGGCATCTAGCCTCTTAACACAGCAAACAGGCGTTAGTCTCTCTCTGTTTTCACTGGAGGTAACATCTTGCTTGAGACTCTCTTCAACTAAATGCTTTTTTTCTGTGTTTCCAAGCAAATTATTGGTCATTTTGAAATTTATTTTACATATTGACAATATATAGCGCAGTGCAGTGTTATTTTAAAGAAAATATTCTTTATTTACAACAAGTTTAACTTTGAAAAACACGTGTTGACATTGTTTGAATCCAGCATGGGGCCTAAGAGATCACGAAAAGCTATTTCAATCCAAACCAAGCAGGAAATCATAAAAAAACATGAACAAGGCATTAGAACAAATGTGCTTAGCAAAGAATATGGCATGTCGACATCAACTGTGTCGACAATTCTTGCACAGAAAGACAAATTTAAAGAAGTGAAAGTGAGAGACAAATCTACAAGAGTGTTTAAAAGTAGATCCCTAATCGCAGAAACTGAGAGGTTACTTATCATCTGGATTTGGGAAAAACAGATGAAAGGTGATTCAGTTTCTACTGAATTCATTTGTGAAAGAGTCAGGGAGATTTACGAACATTTAAAGGCAGATCAACCTGGTTCTTCAGGCACAGAATTTGAAGATTTTCGGGCCAGCAAAGGCTGGTTCGAAAAATTTAAGAAAAGAAGTGACATTTTCAGTGTTGTTAGGCATGGTGAAGCTGCTAGTGCTGATAAAGAAGGGGCAGCAAAGTTTTTAGATGAATTTAAAAAACTGATGGAAGAAGAAAATTATCTTCCACAGCAAGTGTTCAATGTGGACGAAACTGGGCTGTTCTGGAAAAAGATGCCCAAAAGAACATTCATCACCAAAGATGAAGCCTCTTTACCTGGGCATAAACCCATGAAAGACCGTCTCACTCTATTGCTTGGTGCCAATGCTTCAGGGGATTTCCGACTGAAGTCTATGCTTGTCTACCACTCTGAAAACCCCAGGGTGTTCAAGCAACAGAAAGTGGTAAGAACAAAGCTTGGAGTTTATTGGAAGTCCAACCGTAAGGCATGGGTGACAAGACAGCTCTTTAATGAATGGGCTGTTGATGTGTTTTGCCCTTCTGTCAAGAGCTACCTAACCACCAATAAACTCCCTTTAAAGGCTCTTCTCCTCATGGATAATGCTCCTGGTCATGATCCTGACCTTGCCAGCAATTTGGAGTATCAATTTGACTTTGTGAAAGTGTTGTTTTTGCCTCCAAACACTACATCAATCATACAGCTAATGGACCAGAATGTGATCAGCAACTTCAAGAAGTTGTACATAAAGAAAATGTTCAGGAGATGTCATCAGGCAACTTCCAATGATCCTGAACTAACACTGAAACAGTTCTGGAAGACACAATTCAACATCCTGGAGGCTGTAAAATTGATTGTGTCATCATGGCAAGAAGTCTCCACTAGATCCCTCAATTCTTCATGGAAAGCTCTGTGGCCATCAGTAGCCCATGATTTTGAGGGATTTGAGGAAGAAACAGAGTTGGACCAGGAGTTTGTGTCCATTGGTCGTCATTGGGCCTTGAAGTGGAGGAGGAGGATGTGGAAGAGCTTGTGATGTCTCATGAGGAGGAACTTACTCCTGATGACTTTAAGCAACTGGATGAGATGTTACAGGTAGAGGCTGACAGTGGTGAGGAGGAAATTGAAAGTGATGACCATATGTCGGCTAAACAGTTGAAAGATGTGATTTACTACTGGGAGAAGTTCAGGGAACCAGCTTCAAAGCACCCAGAAGTGGAAAAAACTGAACTAACTATGTGTCATGTTGAGGACTCGGTGGTCTCCTTCTTTAAACATAAGTTAATGGTGAGGAGGACAGATGCCCCACAGACCACAATTGACACTTTCTTCAGTAAAAGGCAGAGGGAACAAGATGCTATCCCTCAGCCTTCCACTTCAAGAAGGGGAGAGGATGTTCATGGTGGAGAATCTGTCAGTCCAGAGGTTCCTGACATTTTCATGGAAGGTGACTCACCTTCCAAGAAGCAGTGAAATGCTTCTCCTCCACCTCCACTTCCTTCTCTTCTCCTCCACCTCCCACTTCAAATGCACATCATCATCATCCAGGAGCCTTCTACATACACACCTCAAAGTAAGTGAACTTTTCTACCATTTTTGTTGAATTTAGGCAATTTTCGGTGAGCTGGAACCAATTACCCAAAACCCATTGAAACAATGGTTTCGGTTAACGAGCAACCTGCTGGAACGGATTGTGCTCGTTAACCGAGGGACCACTGTATTACTAAAAGTTGTGTAGTTTTATTTTAGTTTAGTATTAATAGATGATAATGCTATAATTATGTTATAAATGTATTTATTTGTGGAATTATTATTCCGATAATTATTTGTATGACCTACATGCTCTCCCAACATAAAGCCTGACGACAGACTGCATGTGTATGTCGCTGAGCACTTTTTATGAAGAGTACAGTAATGCAAATAAAATAAATTCTTAATGAATTATTTATAGGAAATAAGTATTATGATCAGTAAATATATGAATTATTATTGGTCATCTCGGACACAAAGGCAAGTGGAAAAATTACCCCTAAGTGCGTAGTGACAGCGAGCGCTCGACGTTAAAAAAAAACTTTTTCATTATTTACCTCGTCACTGAGGCGCCACAGAAGTTTCTAGAGGGACAATATATATATATATATATATATATATATATATATATATATATATATATATATATATATATATATATATATATATATATATATATATATATATATATATATATATATATATATATATATATTCTTTTTTTTTTCTTACGTCTTTTTTATTGTTTTATCGTTTATAAAGGTTAAAAGTTATTTTTCAAGAAGTTGATTTTTTCGTTTTAATCGGCGTGGGGGGTACGGCCATCGCCACCCTAGTAGGGGTTAATCTTTTCAATAAGTAAGGTATTGGATTTGATACTGATGCACTTTCTGATTGATTCAATTTGAGCTACTCATAAAGTGCAAGTGTCCAGCTTCTGTAGTTTAATTATTTAGAGCTTTTCTTTATTGACATAAAAAAATAGATTGCTGAAAACCCTAAATTTATTATTTTTGAGCAATTATATTACAGCTAATAAACCCATACTGTATTCTTTCATCAAATCATTTAACAATCTCTTACATGTGTGTACTGTCAGATGCATTGTTTAGTAAATGCTGGTTCCTTCCTTGCTGGTAGAAGGAATGTCCACTGTTTGTTACTTACTATTTGAAGCCAATATTGTAATACAGGTATCCCCCAATTTACGATCTCCCTAACTGGGATATTCTGCTTTTAGGGTGGTGACGTATTAAGGCTTCCTCTCTATTTATGATGTAAACTTATTTGCATGAACGACGTTCATTGTCCAGCCAACGTGGAATATGGAAAGCATCTCTCGATGCATATGTCGGCTGCGGTCTACCCGCACGCGGCCACCCAGTGTACCAAGCATTGTTCCATGGTGATATGCTCATAGCCTTGATCATGTAGCTCAATGATTATCGGTCAGTACAATAACGGTGTCGTTACTTATTGTCAGTTTTTGTTCTTGTAATTTTACCTTACAGAGAGAGGACATCACTGTTTACACTGAACAGTCTCTAATAGACTTACGACAACCCAGACATACGACGGCCATGGTTGTATAAAATATTTTTCACATTACGTATTTTCGAGTCCCGACGTTAGTGATCGCGCTGTGTACTGACAAAATTTTTGTTTGTAATTCCCCTTAAAATGGCTGGCAAGCGTAAAAATGAGAGTTCTCGTGGTGCTGAGAAGAAAAAGAGACACCCATTTTAGAATTTCTATGTATTATTTTTGCCTTTTCGACTTACGACCTGGTCGTTGGGACGGAACCCCGTCATAAGTCGAGGAGAGACTGTACTCTGTTTTGGTGAAGTGAATTTTTTCTATGCTTTTTGTGACTGTAAAGTGCTTTGCTTCTGTTATTGTAAACATGTGAGCCACTTTCATTGTTTTTACATTATCACAATTCGCTATGTTTTGGTGACTGTGAAGTGAGCAGTAATTTTGAAAATGTTTGGGAAGGACAAGGCACCCCAAAAAAAAAAAAAAAAACTTATCTCAGGAGGTGAAGTTTGACATTGTGAAGCAGCATGAGACTCCCCAGAGGCTGTGTGGGAGTCAGTGACATTTCCACTCCACCTTCAAGAGTCCCTTAAGCCTTGAAGGGGACATGTAATTACTCCCAAGCTTGTTCATAATGATGTGGTGAGTGTTGTTTAATTGTGTTTTAAGTAGAGTATTAGTGTAGGATTTTTTTCCAGTGATACATGTTGATTTTGAACTAGCTAGGAATGTATCCTATTGAACACCATGTTATAATGATCCTGATTTATGATATTTCAGCCCGAGATGGGTTTTCAGGAACGTAATCCCACAGTAAATAGGGGGATACTTTTGAATCTTGTAATCACAAATTATTTTAAAGAAAAGATCTTACAAATGCTGGAAAAGGCTAGAGTGCTCTCTAACAAGCCAAATACAATTGATTTAGATTCTTAAGAATTGGATATTAAAAGTTTACTGTCCATACCTTTTCTGGAAACTAACATGTAATCACAGCCAACATTATGGAGACAGGGCAGAATCTACTTTTAATTTCCTGTAGTCTAAGTCGGTCATAAGAGCATCTACCATGCTCTCAGCCATCACTTCTCGACCAAGAAACTCTCCTACCATGGCACGTGGTGGTTTCCCTCCACCATGAGAAAGGACTTCTGTGCGGTATTTTTCTCCCTTCTCTCTGTTAATAAGAGATTTTGATTAAATATACAGTACTGTTTAGTATATGTATCTAAAAATATAAAAATAAAGCAAAAATTTTCTTGAATTGTAAGTTGTATTAAATGTACAATATGTGGAATTTAGTCATTCATAAAAAAAGGGAATGCACCATAAATATGCCTCTTTTTATACATCATGTACTGTACTAATCTATGGTGCCATTTTTGTGTGTAGGTTTGAGCAAGTTATGGAATCTAAAAATTCATTTATGAATATGCAAAGTAATGGTAGTATGTCTGAGAGCTTACACATTATGATAAAACAATGTTGTCCTTGAAACTGATATCAACAGTATCTTCCTGAAATCTGCAAATATCAGGTGTTCTTCATTACTGAGGTAGTTATGACCTCTAAATTGAGCATGCAGAGAACCTGTACAGTACATAGGTAAATTGAAAATAATATTCATCACCTGCTGAAGGGATCCTCTGAGAAATACTTCTGCCAAATCCAAGATGCCACAGCCCGAGAAACAAGATAAGCATAATATTTGGCTCCATATCCAACTAGATGACCAAATCTTAATTGCCAAGCCTGAAATTAAAATACTTTTGGTGAATCGTGTCAAACCCTTGTATGTAGTTTGATTAATAAAGATGCTGCAACTTTTATATACTCTATACAGTAATTGTGGACAATGAGTAGATAAAAGAAGATAATAAAGCCACCACTACAGTACTTAATTTGTACAATGATTCTACAGCTCCAATATGATGACAACTGACCACAAAAGTGGAAAAGAAGACATACTGTAACATAGCTTACCCGGTAGTACATGAAAGGTTATGGCACACCGGTGATGAACAGAATGAGTAAGAATGTGAGTAGTCTTACAGTGAGAGATGGTTCATAAACCTTGGTTAACAGAGATGTAGTGTAAGAATTGCAATAACATCATGTAAAGGTTGAAAATGCAACAATAGGAACAGAAAGCATTTGATCATCTGGGAAAGAGATTCAAGAGAATAAATAAGTAAGAACCAAAGACTTTGAAAGTGTGTTTCATAGGCCTGATAGTGTAGATATAGCCATTGGTAAACAAGCAGATAGTGTGGTCAGCACTGCACTCAACCATTTCACTTCCCCAACAGTAAAATCAGATACCCAATCACAGCTAGATGAACTGGAGGTGTCCCAGATGTAGACCAACGACCCTTAGGACAGAGTCAAACACTGTATCCACTCTGTTGACGAACCTCTTTGAGAAGAGTTAGATGTGCAATAAATGCATGTGTACTATCTGATGGATTGGAAAACTTTGAGTAAAGTGCAGTGTGTCAAGTAAAATTCTGAGACACGTTGATAGTCGCGGTGGAATTAGGATGAATCACAAGAATTGTTGAAAAAGAAATGATGGCTGATATACTGTATATTGATACAAAAATATAGGGAAACTAATCAATAAGTGGCTTCTTGGCATTCAAGAGGATGAATAAATCCAAGGATCTATCGTCATTATGTTAAAGTACATCAACACTGGTAATGTGGTTATGAATGGTGCATAAAAGCAAATTTGTAAACTAGTACAGTACTTCCATACACACACAGTAACAAACTCTCACTAGAGATAAATAAAACTTAATCACAGTAACAAAATATTCCTGTCCAACTTAAAATTTGACATGCTCTTCTCTTATAAAAACATTGTTTCTAATCAACATTTATTCGATCTCAATCAAGACGGAAGAACAGGTTGAAGATATTTTCTTTCCAAAGTAAACATATCGACTTACTGTATTCTGCACATAGGGAAGACCATAGTACTTATTCTGAACTTCCTCTAATATGTTTGTTGTGGTTGTTGCCAGGGACCATCGCTCCTCTCCATGGTAACGCTGATCAAGCAGCGAGTAGAACGTCTGTAAGAAATATAAAGAATTATTGATGAATCCTCCCTTCGTAAAACACATTACAGGTGCTCCTCTACTTAAGAACGTTCAACTTACAAACTTTCAGAGATACAAATATCATCACTGAAGGGGGTTACCTGCCAGAACAGGTGTTTAATGTGGATGAGACTGGATTATTTTGAAGAAAATTCCAGATAGAACAAACATTACCTAAGAGGAGAAGAGTGAGCCAGGTTTTAAGGCTGTATTAAAGGGTATAGCTGTACTAAATATCCATAAACTTTTCATATTTTACAATATGTTGTAAGTACAACAAGAGTAAAGTTGTACTTACAAACAAGCCTCAGGAACATAACTCATTCATAAGTAGAGGAGCACCTATACTGTACAGATATCCCTCAATACAAAAATTCACTTATATGAATTTTCTAAATTACCACCTCGTTTTTGTGTTACGAAGCTTTCCCCACTTATACGAATTTGGGTCCCAGCAAAAATTCAAATCATGCACCCCCGGGAGTCAGCTGGGGCAGCCACATACCTCTAGTGCTCTCCCTACCAGGCTGAGGTAGGAGTTACTGTATGTTATAACCATTTTTTAACTCGTAATTTTGGGTGTATGATCATAACTTTCTTCATATTTTTTTCATTCAGTTACAGTACATGCTAAACACAGAATGTGCAAAAGGAAAAAAATAAATATGTAAATAAAATACAAATAATTATCACAAGGTCAATAACATAAAGGGAATACAGTAAATATTCCTATCTTGTACTAGCGAGAGTTATCAGGATGAGCTGGGGGGAGTTATGTGATGATCATATTTCAGCTCGTAGTTTCAGATAGATAAACTTAACTTTTTTCATTTTTTGTTTGTTTTCTGTTTTTTACTTAGTTACATGCATATACTGTACACTCCTATGCACATAATGTGCAAAAAAGTAAAAGAAATAACTATCATAAGGTCAAAAACATTTCTTTGTATGTGAGAGCGAGGGAGAGAGCGATGCTTGAGTTAGCAGAGGCGGCAGGGCTGGTTTAGGGCGGCCTCGTGTGAAGCAGCCAGCATCTAGGTATGCAAATGGCGCCACTGGCGGCTGTGTTGAAATTTGATTTTGCCTTTTCTTAATAGTTTTAGCTGCATATTTTCATCTAGATAGTATTTTATTAATGTTTTTAATGTGTTAGGTAGAAAATTACAGTAGTTGTGTACGATTTATCATTAGTAGGGAAGTTTTTTTTTATTTGTTTGTGATTCAATTTCAAGTTCTGGGGTATGATATTGAGGTACAAGTATTTTTGTCATTGGGGAACCGAACCTTATTTTTCTCTAATGTTTTACTATTCCAGATACAAAAATTAACCTAACGATTTTTTTTATTATTATTATTTATTTTATTATTTTTTTTAACTGACCCATTTGTATCTCAAGGGGTATGTGTATTGCCAAAAAAAAAATGGTAATTTTCTTTTAAAAATTTTATTCTGTTAAAAAATCTCCTTTTAGGTTTTCCTTAACCCCTTGTGTATGGGTTTCCCACCTGAGCTGAATAAAATTGACTGGCATTAGCCAAATAGTGAAGGGTTAACATGTTAAGGATCCAGGGTAAAATTTTAAATTTGGTAATTATGTGTCCTTATGGCTCTTGGAAATGTTAATTTTTTTTTTTTGCAACCCTAATTACTGTCCTGAATTTTTTTATGGCAATTTTTATGTTATTCTCGGTGTATTATAGTACAGTATTTACACATATTAATTTTCAGTTCCAGTACAAATAAACTCCCCAAAATCCAGAATTACCTCACTGACTGAATATCTATCTCTCAATGTTACAAGAAGTCATGAGTTTTGATTACCAGAGTTTTGGATAAAATAAAATGTAAGTAACGTAGGTTTTCCCCATATAATGTACTGTATAGCATACCTGTAATTGCATTTCAGAAGCAACAAACACGGACTTTGAGGCCACCAATCTTTCCAGAAGTTTTTGGGGAATGACTTCACCAGTCTTGTAGTGCCGAGCAAATGTGCTAAGCACCCTTGGATCCATAGCAAAGAACTCCATTAAGATTGATGGAACTTCAGCAAAATCTGTGCTGCAACGTGTCCCTGTGACATGTTGATACTGGGTCCTGGGGAAGTTAAACACCAATTAATATCAATCCATAGCATTTATATTCACCAACTGTAAATAATTTAAATTCCTAATAGAGGACATAAAAATTAATCAGAGTGGCATTTTTAAAATTAAATCTAAAATGTGAGACTTCACTACAAAGCCAAACATCAAGTTAAACAAAAACTCTGAAGAAAACTCCCTGAAGCAGCTGGGCTCAGTGAAGACATCCAATAAATGACTAAAGGCTTTTCCCTTTTCAAGAGCACAGGATCCTGTTGATTGTGTTATAAATGAATATAGGAAATACCTCAGATCAAATTACCTTGCCAGCATGGAGTGTAAAGCGTGGCCCATTTCATGAAATAGATTCTCAACCATACCAGGTGTGAGGAGGGATGGGCTTGACCAAGATGGTGATGGCAGGTTCAGATGCAACACCACTATGGGATCCTAGTGAAGAGTAAACCCTTAACAACTTTTATAAACCATATACCGTACAGATCTGACTTATACAAGTTAGTTTATATTAGATAAAACAAATTAATTCACAACCAATTATTACACCTTGGCCATGTTTCATGAACAAATTAGAAATAGAAATTCTATTTTCAGTACCGAAATTTCAAATTTTTTCAGTACAGGTACTCCTCGACTTATGACATACTCAACTTACGACAACCCGGACATATGACCGTCGTGGCCGTATAAAATATTTTTCAAATTACGTATTTTTGAGTCCTGACGTTAGTGATCGCGCTGTGTACTGACAAAATTTTTGTTTGTAATTCCCTTTAAAATGGCTGGCAAGAGTAAAAGTGAGAGTACTCGTGGTGCTGAGAAGAAAAAGAGACACCCATTTTAGAATTTCTATGTACCTGTATTATTTTTGCCTTTTCGACTTATGACCAATTCGACTTACTACCTGGTCGTCGGGACGGAACCCCGTCATAAGTTGAGGAGAGACTGTAGTTATAAATTTTTACTTAATTGCATTGTAAAGTTTCCAGCACACTTCTCTGCTTCCTTAATGTAAGACTGACTATATCAAAGGGGTGTAATCCAGTTGGTTCCCATTGTATTTTATTTTATTTTTGTAATATGGAATGTACAGTACGGTGGTCCCTCGGTTAACGAACACAATTCGTTCCAGAAGGTCGTTCGTTAACCGAAACCATTGTTTTAATGGGATTTTGGGTAATTGGTTCCAGCTCAACAAAAATTACATACAAAGTAAAAAAAAAAAAAAATGCAGTAAAGTACTTTTACGTTGAGGTGTGTATGTAGAAGGTTCCTGGATGATGATGGGAATTAGAAGTGGGGGTGGAGGAGAAATCACCTCATGCTTGATGCTGTCATTTCACCTATAAAATTTTAAGTTCACTAGGTGTAATTCAAGTTCATTTTCTTTAAATCAACACTGCACTGCACTATATATTGTCAATATGTTAAATAAATTTCAGAATGACCAATAATTGTACTGTAAAAACATAAAAATACTCTGTGTTCAAGAGGCCCACAAGCAAGATGTTTCCTCCACAGAACAGACACACCAACTGAGGCCTTGGTGGGTGAGTGAAGTGGCTGATGGGCACACCAAAAACTAGTTTCCTGTACTGCAATTATGTTAAATAAGTGTTAAAATTACTAAAAATGTTAATATAAAACTTGGAAAATTATTGAATAGTACAACCTTCTTGATATTTACTCCAATTTTAATGAATGTAAGCCCTGGAACCGATTTCTGTATTGGCGGACTAATCTTCCAGCTGGTGAGCAAGCCAAAGCACGTCGAAACATTTTTGTAAGAATTTTGTTAACCGAATTTAAGATTCTTATGGAAGGTAATTCGTTAACCGAGGGACCACTGTACTAGATTTCTCTTATAGAAGTCAGCTCCCATAAAAACTTCACCAATTAATAGGTCAAATAAGATATTAATACAGAGTGCGCCAATACAATGTACCGGTACCCAATTTTAAATGTGTGTAACTGTAATTATTTAACATATTTTTGTTTTGTTTGCTGTTAATTGAAGGATGTTGGTAGCAGACCCAATTCTTGTGAATGCCTTCGATGCCCTTTTTATGAACTGCTAACTACCGAGTGCTGCACAGCATCATGTACAATGTCCTTGGGGCTTGGTCTACCTGATGCCCCTTTATTTAGGATGTAAACAGCTCTGTTTTTCCCTAAATTTGGTCACAATATGGTGAATTGATTTTGGTGTTGGCGCTCTTTTGAGAGTGTACCACAGATTTTGTATCAATATAAAATTTGACGACTTTCACTTTTTGTGGCGTAGTCAAAACCATATTGACATAAACTCCCAAGTGTCTCCTTCAATTAACAGCAAACAAAACAAAACTGTTAAATAATTACAGTAGAATGTCAATATAACACGAGATATATTCCAAGAGAGGTCGCTTTAAACCGAATTCGCACTTAATCGAAGTGTTGTTTCAATGGAATAATTTAGTTTGGTACTTGAGAGAAACACAAAATACTAAAGAGACTGAGAGTCTACTCAGGTGCACCTCAGCCCATCTCCTAGAATAAACAAAACATTGTTTTTTGTAGTATTATCTTAAAACAAACACTCATAAATCAACACAGCTAAAATTATGGGACGTGAAATGGTCTGTTTACTAGCGATCAGCTGATGGTAAGAGGGAGGGGGGGGGTGAGGTGATATGTTTGACAGTTGATGCCAAGGTCTAGTGCTTATTTATTTAGCTGTCCTTAAGAGTGACTAAGTTTTTCTCTTATAAAATGCCAATGAACTGACATGTTCCAATTAATTTTATTACAAAGGGCTAAAATTTCTATCTCTTGTGCAAAATATATGACATTTATATTCAAATTATTCTCCTAACTTTAGTCTGTGATATTTATGTCCTTTAGATTGAGTTTTTGTTTTTTGTTTATAAAATGTCACAGAAGTGACCGGGGAAAATATAATTTACATTACTGGCATTCTTATAAGATAGTGATTAATTTGAATACACATAATCATGCTATAGTTTGCACTAGACAAAAATTTTAGTACAGTAATCATTTAGTACATTATTTTGAGTACATGTACAGTACAGCTTTGATCTTAGAATAGTGTAGCGTGCCCAGAGAAAAATTAGGTGTGAATTTTAAAATATGATGCACCAGATTGACTCGCACAAAATAGGAAAGATTCGCTTTAAATTAAAACAGTGTCATTAATTGTGGGTATCGCTTTAAATCAATAATCTTAAATTGAATTGTTTTAAATCGACGTCCTACTGTACAGTTACAAAATTAACCTTTAAGCCCCGGGTGACGTTCCAGAATGTCCGCCTAGTTTCCCGCCATTTTTTTTTTTATTTATTTATTTTTTCTCGATTTATCCCCACGCGCGCAGGGGTTACTGCTAGCAGCATCCTAACCCGGGGCTTAAGGGTTAAAATTAGGTACATGTTATTGGTACACCCTGTAGTTCACAAACATGCAGTCATTTGTAAACATAACATTACTGTATTACCTGTATAAGGGTTACAGCATAACACTCCTTTCAAATTAAAAATAATTTTTTTATTTCTATATTTAGTAAAGATAAAAAGTATGAAGTACCTGTACTGTATACTGAGGATACAAGGTTACACAGATCCTAACCTGATATGAGCCGTCTGCCAACAACTTGCCACCTCTTATGGTGAAATGACAATCCTGGTGAGCCTTTCCTGGTCGCTCATAGAAGTCACAATATATGTAGCCTAATACTCCTTCAGTATTGTGCTTCACTGTTGAGAAATTATTGCTAAATTATTTAATATACAAACCTTATTTAAGAAAAGCACTATATTTACACATTTAAGAATAAAATAAAAACAAGACTATATAAAAAAAAAATTAAATTTTCACACAATGTACAGGGTGGCTGTAAATTATCCATTTATAGTTGAACTTTCTAATGTAACCATCACCTTTAAAAGGGAAGATTAAAAGCAAAAGTTACCACTTCAGGCTGAGGGGCAAACAGCTGAAATGTCTTGCCAAAATACTCAGTCAATCTACTAGAGGAGTAAAGGATCCAATCACACACTAGATTCAAACCTAAGATTACATTTCAGGATCAATCCACCACTATGACCTGACACCTTGCTATATCATAAAGCTTTTTAAGGGGATTACACAGTGCCAACTGGGTAAAGATAATGACTATGTTAACAAAAGCAACACAATTAAACCACTTAAATACTTGCCTGCCAGTTTATAAACGTCACTAGCCCAAAGTTCTCCAGGTGATGGTTCCTCCACCTCTAAAGTCACATTATAGAGATTCAAGAGGAGACCATTTAGTCCCTCCATAACTGCTCCCAGGGAGAAATATGGCATCAGATCACTTGCACTAACCAGGAACTTGTTTTGCCTAACTTGGCTAGCGAAGTATGGAACATCCCAAGGAGCCACATCCTGAAATAATGAACAGTACCAATTATTGTATTACATCATTTGATGGGTGTGAAGCATGGAGTCTGGCTGTTTGAGGTAGGAGCACATTAGAAACAACAGAAATTATGTGTTTGAGTGTGAAGGAAAGGTTGAAACCTGTTCTTATTTTAGGGTACAGTACTGTACTGTACCGACATTCTATGCTTGATCTGACTTTGGCAGTGCACATAATTATAATAATAAAAAGAAGAATATACTGTAGTACAGTAACTGAGACCAACAGACAGAAGGAATACTATGAAGAGAACGAGAAACATAGAGATAAGGAAAACCTGTGGAAGTGACAGAAATGTTGGACTAAGAGCAGATGAAAATTTGTTCAGGTGGTACTGTACACTCAGTGTCCCCAGTCATCCTACCTGGTAACACCATCTACCCCTCCCAAACTTTTGCATGCAGACATGTTTAATAGAAAATGTGTTGGAGATGTGCACATCATGTAATAAAAAATGCAGCTGAGCTCTCCACAAATTGTCATCCACAACTTTAATATGAAATTACTCTTATGGGTGTAGTGTGTACTACAGCACATGTGCAGTACAGTGTATTCCCAAATTATGATGACACTCAAGAAAAAACACCTACTGACATAACCATGATATAACGAGGATCTTCTGTATTTATTTGTTTGGCACTACCTTTATTTGGGTGTTATCACCACAATTCAACAAGTATGAAGTTTGTGATTGAACTCACCCTTGAATAGCTATACTGGGCTTTCTTCAAGGTGTTCATCTCATCAAAGTCTTCCTGGGCCCGGGGTCTGACCTCACTGGCAAGATGTTTCAAAAAATCTACCACAAGCTCAGGAGTTTCTGCCAAACTGCCATTTACAGCTCTGCAAGAATGTGTTAAATTACTCAGAAAAACAAAAGAAGAAATATTAATAACACAGAAGAATAAAAGTTTGTGTTTAAGTCTTATAACAATCAAAGGCTATGTGAAAGCAAGTCCCAGTGGCCTGACAGCCTGCTAAAAGCAGAGAGGGTACAGCACACTGAACACTAAGCCTCCAATACAAAGACACAGAGTGGTCAGCGTAGGACTTGGTTGTTGCAGCCCAAAAGGTTACCTACATACTATACAATCTACTAACCGATGAGCATAAGAAGGAAAACCACATATTGTAGCCATTTCATGTCTTCCATTGATCATGTCCGTCAGCAGCACTTCCTGATGGGGGTCTGGATGAAGGAATATCTTGTATCCTGCCTCACGAGTTATCTCCATGTGAGCATCTGCGTACAAGCCTGTTACTACAACGTTGTCTCCATCGATGGTAAAACTGGTAAAATTAGCATGTTTCAGATTATGGCATAAAAACATGATCTCATGAAATCATTAGACTGTTTTAACAGTAATCAATTTTTTTTTATTGAAACACAAAAGAATATAAATATATAATTCTTGAGTTACCTAGTTGTGGATAGTACTGTACTGTATTTCCAAATGGTGATTACAGAGTAATGACATAACATCATCTGATGTAAAGAAAACCTTCAGATATAATTTAATTGTACTATAATAAGTGTAGCAAAGTGAAGGTATCCTACAGTTATTATATTGACCAATTCATACACAATGACCATTAACAAATTACTGGAAGTCACTCCAAGGCTCCACAAGCTGATCAGATTTAATTGCATATTAAGACTTACTGCTGTCTTATATTTTCTGGAAGATTTGTCTTAGGGACAGCTCTGGGGTGGAGGGAACCATTCATAAAGTGTTGACCAAGTGTGAGGATGGACTCATTTAGACTCACAACACGTCGTCGTTGAGCCTCATCCAAGTGAATTCCTGGGAAATAATAATATATTTAAAACAAAAGATGTAAAACACTACAGGAAAGGAATGATTACTGGTGAAGAAACTTTAAAGGGCCTTTTTTTTCACATTAATGCACTGAACTTTCTTACACAGGCCTCCACTCAATGCAGTTTCAACACCAAAAACTTGCATAGCCGTCCCATGGTAATGGAAGCCAAAACCTTCTATTATCAATTAAAACCAAATCTATACTTAATCATGTATAGTATACACTACAGCTTTTACTGTAATACAAAAAAATTCAACATTAATAGGTTGTAGGGATGGATGTGTGGTCATTAACCCTCTGATACTCCTGATCATGGTTGGAAATCTCGCCCCTTCGCAGTCTTTTGATGCAGGTTGCATCTGTAACAAGGAATGCCCTTTAGTTCTTTCCATTTTAGTAAACATTGGGTAGAGCGATCCAGACCCAAATTGCACCATTAGAGATGCATCTGCCAGCCCACGAGGCTAGTGGGAGGAACCAAGGTGATTGATAGGGGGGCGGAAGGGGTCATGCCAGGACGGGAACACTTAGCAACGCAATTTGTATTAAAGGATCACAAGAGGGTTAATTGTGGAGAGAATGTTCAATGTCAGGCAAGCTGCCAGCTAGTCTCAGTATTTCACACTTTAAACAGTCAAATACAGTATGGAAATAATGTAATACTTAGTATTAATAAACAAAAAAACTTACGGTACATAGATTGTTGTATAAATAAGGTCGATTTACACAACGCCATACAGTAACTGTTAGACACATCAGGCTAATGAAACAGGGTTTCCTCCCACCTATGGCACATAGGAACATAATAATGAATGCATAACATAAATATACTGTACTGTAATTGAAAATGATATTCCATCAAAATAAATACAGTAGGCTACTGTACAGTGTGATAAAAAATGTGGTAAGTACAGTATTAATATTTAATAGTTACCATATGATGTCATTTCCTCAGGAGGCACTTCAGAACTGTGTGGTCATGCTCAAGGTGTCTCAAAGGTCGTGCACCACAGGAAAATTAATGTTCTCTCCTTTTTCAGGTGATGGAATCATAACAAATCAGCTAGACGCTACACAACAATCAATTGCAATACCGTATGCCATAATTTAATCAACAACATCCACGTGCCTGGGTGTTGTCGGTTTATTTTTTTTTGACATGGTAAACATTTTCTACTGTGATAAACTGAACATAGAGAAAAGACTAAAACATTGAATGATGCTCATCCTTCATTCCTAATATTCACCCATTCACATGCTTTACAAACTCACACATACACTGAAGGAAGACATAATTAAAAAGTTTTCTTCACACAATGTAGTATTGCCATCATCATCTTTCAGCCATCTCTATAATGTGAATAGATTCTTAGCCTCAACATCTCAACATCTACTCTTCAATTCTTATCTTAACGTTCATGTTAGGATAATGAATTTGGCACACAAGTCACCTCTTCATCACAATACAAAAGAGCAAACAAAAAAATGAATGGATGGAAACTGAGAATTAGTTATGGGTGACAAATTGAAGTGATACATGTATCTTTTGGTCAGGGGTGAAATGCCTCATCATCACAAACACTGAAAGTTTAATGTATTTTTTATAAGATTTCTAGATGGATACTTACCTGACTGTTCAAAATCAAAGAGGAAGAGCCTTGCCACATGTCTATCAACATCTGTGGTGGGGATCTTATCACCATGCTGAACAACTTCTCTCAAAGAATCATATAATTTTCTATGGGTATTTAACCTGAAATTGAAAAATTAAATTAAATTTTTCTAATTACTATCACAATTCACACCACTTAAAATTAATCTTACAATGAGGTAAAAGTAATAATTATAAACTCATCATTTGCCACCTCTATAAATCAAACCCCAAAGACTATCATTCTCTCTCCTACACTGAAGCTTTCACAATTTATCCAATTCTTCCCAGGAATTTTCCCTTTCCTCCTCACTCGTCTCATTCCTTGGTGCTGTTGAAGGAGGCCCAACTAAAAGAGAAGGCAAAAATAGTTCATACCAGTACTGTATCTCATTTACTAAATAAAATTTTCAGAAAGAATAGTTACACAGAGAAAGTGAATTACAGATCACTGCCTTACAAAAACATACAAACTTTATCCTACTTACTGTTCAACAAGTCCACCAATGGCTATACACGCATCCTCAGCAGCATGAGAGTATCTTGCCTGAGGATGAGCCATGCGGATAAACTCTGCAAGGTCCGCCACACGACAAAGGGTATCAGACAGGTTATCAAACACCTAGATAAAAAGAAAGGTCATGGAAATATTCACTGTTTAGGCATAAATAAATATTTATAGGATGCATGAAAAACATGATGAAGTTATATTAAAAATTATAAATTAGTTTTTGGATCTTAATTATACAAGAAATAGAAGCAGTTAAACTACATAATGTACAGTACTGCATTTGTTATTGACATACGCCACACCTGCTGTGTTGCTGATTTAGTCGAAGTTGACCAGAGTCTATGAAGCTAAAAGATGTGGTGGGTTCTATATATGTTGAAGTGCAATCCCGACATATCGTTTAATGACAATATAATTTTTCTGATACAGGTATGTTGTCCTAATGGTTGTTGGTATATAAGGGTGGTACCTGTCTAGTTGGCTTTTCCAATAAGCCATGACTTGGCTCTCATGGGCAGATCAGTCCCACTCGGGTTGTCAGATGGATTAAATTTTTTGGGATATATGCCTGCATTCTGATACTCCTGGGGACTCTACATAAAGTATAAAAAAAAAAAAAAATAAAAATATAAAGGCAGCTCTACTACATACTGTACTCTATAATCATGAGCTAGCAAACATAAATGGTTTTCCAATTTAATAATTTCTCTGCAATAAGACTCGTTATCAAACCCATTAATAAAAATATTTTGAAAAACATCAACTTTATAACACTGACACTACCGAAAGAAAAAAATTCTTCGAGCATGATAAATAGTACAGTATCTTAACGTAAACTCACCTCAACCATTTTTCGTGACCTGTTTGGTGAGCAGCATTCTGCCACCAAGTCATCTGCTTCATTGACAGCATTTTCTTTTAATAAGTAAAATCCTTCTGGTTCCTGTATCTCTGGAAGTCCAAACAAGCCCTGGAAATGCATAAATATTTGAAAATATACTATGTGATCACAGCAGTACCTTTCTTCTATACACTGTAATACAATTGACAAATACAATAGGCATCGTTCAAAGTAAACTACAGTATTAACATTCTACATATTTCTAAAGAACTGCATGGTACCACAGCCAGCATGAAAGAAACAAGACTGCAATACTGATGGCATAATCACCAAAATCCAAAAGGTTAATATTTTACAATTATTGCTCTTTCTCTGGTTGACCTGTTAACTGTTATTTTCCAGATATATCTATTAAAAAAAAAAGATGGGATCAGCTGAAGAATCTCCACCCCAGCTTATTTCACCTAATGATTAACCATCCCAACACTACAGTCTATACAGGATGAGGTTAGCTTAGGGTAAGTTAGGTTGGAGTTTGGATGGTTAATCTTTAGGTGAAATAAGCCAGGGTGGAGATTTTTCAGGTGATCCAAAACCTGTTTTGTAACTCGTGAGTAGCCAATATTCACCCCAGAGAATTACAACTTATGCATTTTGTATTTTCTGTGATTTTCTTTCTAGAGAAGAAACTGTGACATTTTATGCAGGCAAAACAAACCATTGAAATCATACCTAACTTATCTAAACGGTATTCTAAGATCGTTAGGTTACATTATCTAAGTTTGTTTAGGTGCATAAATATAATAAAAAGCATTACCTAGAGAAATTAAAACATTTTTAAAAAGAAATACCCTAAGCTATACCACTACCTCATTTTACATCACTAAACACTTTGAGAATAGCCTAAATAAATACAAGTATGCTGTTAACGAGGGTAACACTGTAACTGTGCCCTAAAATAATCCAGTGTCAACAGAGAATGTGTACTTACAGACGTCCCTTTAGTGAAGTGAAGACTCAACAGTTTATTGGGTTTAGTGTTGAAGACGGCGGCGAGTGGCGACCAAGTATGGACCCCACACCATTGACCACCATTTTCCTGGGGTCTCTTCTTCCAGTGACTCCAAATATATTTAGATCTTCTTAAAAACAACATTGTTAGGTCAAGACATTTACTACCTTACACGATTATGTAATTAAACTTATCTCCGACCTTTGGGTTTGTTTTCCGTCTTCGAACTTGGCCTTTTATTAAATCCGAGTTACAAGATGGCTATTATCATATTACTAAGTTCGGGTTATAAGTAAATAAAATAAAGAAATAATCGTATCAAATCATTCGTACATTTAAAATTGAAAATAAGTTTTAATATGTTGAGTTTGACTATAATTAAAAATATAAATCTTTCATGTAAACTTACACTGAGACGCCATGTAGCCTTTAACATAGTCCAGTATTTATCTTTCTTTTGGTGGTATAAGTACGTGTGGGAAGGCCGGTGAGCTGTGTCGGGCTTATATATTGTAATGGCATAGACTAATGTGGATTATATAGCCATTCATTGGACATAAGAGCGTTGTATCCAATTGTTCCCGCATTTCTTGAGTTTTAGCCACATGTTGATATATTAAAACACCAAATGCAAGATCTGTTGTCTTGAACCGTATCTTACTTTTCCCTCAGTCAATTCTTATTGATAAAATGCTCTAACTTTGCTATTTGAAAATACAACACCTGTATAAGAATTTAACTTAAATTATGCGTGAAAATTAAGAATCGTGAGTGCAAGTAACCATTTTTCTCTAATAGGTCTAGTTGTGGTAATGGGAGGGGTGATTTATGTTCATTTAAGGCGAAATATAAAATAAAATGTAAAATTAACATTGATGATCAGGGCGAACGACAAAATAAATTATAGAAGTTCGGAGGCAATATAATATTCCAAAAACTTTCTTGTGGTATCTTGGTTAAACCATCTTGAACTATCTGCCACTGTTTCTGTAGATATATGTCTTGATTCTCTGTATATGCTGAACCACTGTCAACTTACATGACGATTAACTGAAACTTTATCTTTCTATCATCTATCCGCTCATCTTCCTTGAGTCGCCTTACTGTTTGTGTACATGTATACAGTTGCGTTAACAATAAAAATAAAGAATATGTATCTTTATCACACGTGACTTTTACAATTTAACTAAACAATGAGTTGGTCAGCCATGAAAATATTGCATGGACGAAATAAATCAAATAGGTGTTATAGATATTTTTAATCATACCATAAAGCGATACCTGGCATCATTTTCGAGCTAACAGTGTTTATTTTTCACAAGATGCAAGATAATATTTACACTGACAATAGAATTTATTCCACCATATATTAGCAACAGAAGAAAAAATCTCTTACGCTTATAAGCACTATATCAAAACGTAAAGTTGCATAATTCAAGAACTTGCCAAAACAATAAAAAATAAATAATACATGACCTCCACCAAGGACTGCCAGCTCTTATCGGTTTGGTAATTAACCCTTTAATCTAGTGTTAACCTAACCTACCCGACTTGTCAGTATCCAGGCATAAGCACATACTTACCTGCTAACATATGTAAATTCACCGATGAAAATTAAACACAGACAAATCTGATAAGGATCAGCCATAGCTGAAATTAACTCGTGAGTTTGGCACCTTGTTAACTACTGCGAGTTTTCTTCAGTCATACTTGACAGCCAGCTGCTGCCTGCCAGGCCCAGTAGTAGCCTAGCTCTCCAAATAACAGTATACAATGTCTCCACTTCGTCTTCTGGTGTTCCTGGGGTCAACCCGTGACGGTCGGCTTGGCGAGAACGTCGCAAAGAGCGTTGTCAACAGCCTGAAGCAGAGGAATCACGATGTTGAGTTGATAGGTAAGTCAATAACTGTTACCGGAGTTGTTCTTTCTGATATTGACGTTAGTTTCTTTCCTGACAGTGTTAGGCCGCGGCTTTCTCCATTACTTGTTTTTAGGCTTGAGTCCTTGTTTTATTATTATTAACTATTCTTTGTAAATATAGCGGGTTGTAAGTAAATGAGCAGTTTATATCTTTAGCTGTCGAAAAAAAGCGTAATGTGACACAAAAATGAAATATGTAACAGGAAGCACTTACATGTCGAGAAGTCAAATATTATAACTGAATAAAAATGCCTTAATGCACCAAAACATGTTTGTAATTTATTACAACGCACATAAATATTGAAATGAAAGTAAACGTTATGGTTATGTCAGTAGTGCAGCCGAGCCGCAGGAATGTGATACCCACTGCAGTAAACGATAGGACTGGGAAATGACACGAGCAAACCGTGCGAAAACGTAGTAGCTGCATGCCAAAGCTAGATAACTGTTTATTCAGTTCTATATATAAAAAAAAATGGATGGCAAACCACGCAGAATTGTTGGCAAACTTCCCAGTCAAGAAAAGCTTGTATTAAGAATGAACAGTCTTGGCAATATTTTTAGGCTATAGATATTTAGCTTGATGTTACTCAGGAATGTATATTATCATAAAATGACCAGAGGACATACTTATTTTTCCCCTGTACTGAAATATCAATTGCAGAAAAGGCGGAAAACGCATAGATTAACCATAACCAACTGTTCGTGTTTGCCCCCCCCCCCCAAAAAAAAAAAAAAATAAATAAATAAAATAATTATAATAAAAAAATCAATTTTACAGTTTATATTTGCTTTCTTGACTCCCTATGTCTTTTTAATGTATCCTAAAACTAAAGAGCAAAAATACTTTGAGGCGAGTTTTGTGTCCAATAAAGGAATTTAATGGCAGTGATGGATCTGCTGAGCACTCACTTATCAAAGGAAGCGTTCAAAAGTTTCACGATTCCGTTTAAGCTTTGGGACGGGTGCACTGAAGAATCTTAAATACTATCTCCCAACTTTTCCCTATACAGTATCACTTGTGTATGCCCGATTTATTATGGATGCACCAGAGGTAGAAAATGGGATTGAGTAGTTAATGAAATCACCGAGAAAAACGCGGGGCTTAAAAAGCTACGTGTAACTCCCTGGACGAATCATTCAATCAGTGACCTACTGTATCTCAGACCAGCTTTGTTGTCACGGAACATTTTCAGGAGAGTCGGTGGCTTTAATTAAATTGGTTGCGCCTCTGAAAGTGTCTGATATATTACAGAGCACTAATGATACAGGCAGGTTGTAGTGTAGCCTCAACAAGTAACATACTTGTTGTTTACATCAGGAATTGGCTCATCACAACCTCAAGTCTCCTGTTATATCGTTTAACAACCAATGGCTTATAAGTTCCCCCGGAAGGGAGTCCGCTGATCAATAATAATGTTGGCACAAGGTTGTCACTGTACAATAACGATGCCAGAGTGGTAGCTGGGCTGCTTGATTGATTTTGTTATTGTTTTTGCTGTTGCCTTTATTGATTAATCAAAGGGATTTCGTCTATTGACATCATATTTTTTTTTTTACGGGAATTAGCCCACCCGGGCACAGGTCAAACGACCCACAACGGAGCCTGGGGGGCGAAAAAAAAAAGAATGGAAAGAAATTGAAAATATAGAAAAAAAGGTTATACTGTATTAATCTACACCACGAAGATGCCGGAAAACCAGCTTTTTAAAGTGAGACAGATTGTAAGAGCAAGGAAACACAGAAGAAGGCAGAGCATTCCACAGTTTGGCTGTGTGAGGAAAGAAGGAGGTACTATAACAGGTTATTCTCGTGTGACTGACATCCACAGAAAAATGGTGGGCACCGCGGGCAAGACGTGTGTTACGAACCCACGGCCTTGCCGGCGGTACACAGGATGCCAAATCCACTGAACATTGCCCGTTAAAGTACCTGTAAAAGAGAGAGAGTGAAGCAACATTGCGGCGAAGAGAAAGGGAAGAGAGATTGTCGACTAAAGGAGGAGAGTTAATAAGACGAAATGCTTTTGATTCCACCCTATCTAACAGTTGGACAGAAGAAGAGCCACCCCTGATATGAGAGCAGTACTCCAAGTTAGGACGAATGAATCCCTTATATACTTGGAGCAACTGCTCAGGAGTGAAATAGCTGCGGCATCTGTACCTGTACAGCATTCCCAACTTTCGGGAGGCAGCTTTAGTTATACTAAGGATGTGTGATTTCCAGGACATATTGGAGGAAATGGTGAGGCCTAACATATTTATTTCAGAATTTGGGAGGATGATAGCGTACTGAAATGTAATTGGTGGGAGATCGTCTAATTTACAATATACTGTACCAAGTGTATGTTGTCAGCCGAATGACATCATCACACTGGTGAAATGTGGACAAAAGGATGTTATTATGGTATGAGCTGTAATATAGCGTGTAAAACTTAGCCTTTGTTAACTTTACATAAGATGACATGCTTAAAATCATTTGAATTCCACCTTCCAGGCGCGGTAGAATAATGGTTAGATGGAGTGGAACTGCCTATTGTTGAGACAGTTCCTGTGATGGAAGGTGCTAAACTGTTTTGAGCGGCAAGCCTTATCATATTAGTCATACTGTAGTGGTCGATAGCAATGTCGTAACTCTATAATGCCACTTATCTAACTATATACTGTATATTGAATTGGAGAATAATGATTTTACCTCGATATTACGTGTGTATTTTATAGTATAAAATACACTGAGCGAAGTATTATGGAGGTGGACGAAGGAGTGCGGCGTGGATAAAGCTTGCGGCCACACCTCAAGGTTATGGCGGCAGCATTTGCGGTATGACGGTGCATCTTTCTCTTATACAAAGTTTATAATCATGATGACTTTTCTTTTGTCAAGCATCGCCTCTGGCAGGAAGTCTGGACGTCTGCGATCTTGTATATGATTCCAATGTAATTTGATGGCGTAATCAGTACCAGCCCAAACGCTTTTCTAGTAATTACAGTACCTCAGTATTAATCACAGTATTATCTTAATAAAAATTCAGTGAAGCAGGAAAGTTTAAAGACCTTTGATCAGGTTTATCTCAGGGAATAAAAAGGTTTGAAATTTGCATCAATACTTTTATACATTAACGTTGTCATGTCTGGGTTTTTTCGCGAATAACTGCAAGACCGAGAAAAGCAGAGGCGATAGCTGTGGTGTCAGGATATGGTGATGGCAGGTTACTTATAAGTAGAATTCCTTAAGATGGTGAAATTATAAGAGGCCAGGTGCATCAGTGGAATCACCTGAAGAATAGCCTCCTCCCAGTTAAAGTTGTACATCAGCTATAACATCGTATAAGAGACAACAGAAACATTTGAAACTTATTGTGCATGATAGTGCTCTTGGCCAATTACTGTATATTCACTTTGGGAGATTTCTAGGATGGATGAAATACTGAAACAGGTGCACAAAATTACACCGAACATAACGTCACCCTAACCGCTCAAATCCAGTTACGTACTGTTGTACTAAATTACTAACGCCGTGTAAAGGTCACCTGAAGAAACTCTACCCCAGCTAATTTCACCTAAAGATTAACCACCCTAACGCTATTTGAGAATGGGGTTAGGATAGCGTTAGGGTGGCTACCTTAAGGTGAAATAAGCTGGAGTGGAGATTGTTTAGGTGATCCCGGGAAAAGGTGTGCGTGTGTTTCCTCGTTACGGTATGTGCATGATGGGTTGATTACCTACCTGTTCATATGAAAGTTACGTAACCGAGGTGTGGGGTTAGGAGCCGCGGCCTTAGCTTACCAGGGGAAGGAGCCTCGGCCTTGGCTTCCCAAGGGAAGGAGACTCGACCTTGGCCTTCTCGATGGCTGCGACACCCATCTCTCACTCACATGCACCGATACTCTATCTTACTTCCTTTAAATATAAAAGCTTCAGAATGGCCTAGGAAGCTCTTTGAAAGGTAATTTGTTAAATGCTAGAGTTTGGAAACACGAGAAATGCTGCCCCCCCTCTTCCTCTTACCCCAATCCACGAAACAGCCACCACTGAATACGTGCACAGAGTACTGGTCGGTTACGCCACATTAACATTATTGACGGTGGTGGTGTGACTGGTATCTGGTCTCTCCTTCGTAACAGACCCTCCCACCCACTCCTACTCCAAACCTTTGTGTTTCGAACAATTTTTCACGAAAGATAGAATAAAATTATTTCTCAAAAACATTGTAACGAGTTTTGATAGGAAAGAACTTTCATAGCTTTTCCCGTAATCACCTCTTCATTCAATGCTAAATTTAGGTAGCCACTATATTATCCCCAATTCTCGAGTTGGTGAAGAATCCTCTTCGGGGGTAGATATGCGAGACAATTAATGTTCTCTTGATTTGTGTTGCAATATCGTTTCGAGAATGGATTTACGTGGTAATCTTAAAGAATCTGCTTTTATGAAATATCCCAGAACAATATAGTTTGTTGAAAACCCCTTTAATGGTGGATCATTGTTCTGATTATCCGATTCGAAAGTCATTACGTTATCTCTTGTAACTGATATGTGAAAGTTTCTCATTAAACCTACTGCACAAGGATGGCGGTTAGAAGTGCGCTGAAATGTATTGAAGCTCTATCGTAACTTTAGCTGCTTAAATCCTGGTGGAGCTGCAAACATGGTAAAATTGATACAAGGCACTACAAATTACAACACAAAGAGTAATGAATTATTTAGTGGACATCTGGGCCTAATAGGCGTGTTTAGATTCCCTAAGTCATGGATATAAAATCTTTATGCAAGCCACATAATGAAATAAGCTATCAAATATTCAACAGGTGATTTTCTCATCAAATAACAAGTAAAATCTACTGCAGAAGGCGAAAATGAAAAGGCAAAGAATGATATGCAGGTGAGTGGTGAAGTGAATTCATATAATATGTCACTTTACTTTATTTAGAGGTTGTTATTGATGGTTTATTTGAACTATCGCCGTGCATAGTGA